GGGAGGTCTAGGCTAGGTTAAGGGTAACAGAACTGAGAGATTGTGTGTAGCCACAAGGAAAGGCCAGTTGATGGGATTATAGCCTCAGGCAAATGCCAGAGATTTGGCCTGGTAGGAAAGTCCAGGGTTTTTCCTTTTTGGTGTCTAGCTCCCCATCTTCATCATTCTCCCCTTAAACAAATGGGACCCAAATGCTTTTGGAGTAAGGGGCAAAGGTCTCAGCTTCTGAAACTGCTTCCTGCTGGCAACGAGCATAGAGCTGTCCCTGCCTCAATGGGGTCCCAAAGAGGAGGTTGACTGGAACCGAACACAGGCTGCGTTCAGGGAATGCAGGGGAGACATTGGCTGGAACCCGCTGTTTGCTATCAACTGTAGGTGAATGGCTTGTAGTCCAAAAGACCCAAATGTGACAGAAAAGACTGAAGGGCCCAGATATAGAAGTAAAAAGTATAAAAGCCCCATTAAAATCATTTACATTCGACCTGTAGGATTTTCCAATCTTGTTACTTTCTGTGAAGTTTAAGTAACACTTTTACAATATCAAATCCACCTCATTGCAAGACTCAAGAATAGCCAGGTGGGTAACATTCCTTGGGTAACTTTCTCCTTGGAGTTTTAGTTATGTTGCTCTTTCTTCGTTCTTTTCTTATCTGTCAGACTATTCCTCAACATTTTTTGTGGATCATCTTTCATTTTACTCCTCCCAATGATGGATGTATCCCAGGTCTTTGTCTTAGGCCTTCTCCTCTCCTCTCTTGTCCTGTCCTGTTCTGTCCTGTCTAATCCTCTTTTCTTTTCTCCTTCCACATGCTCTCATTTGATAACTCCATCAGCTCCCATGGGTCTAATTATTGTCTCTATGCAGATGACTCATAGAACTACATATCTGGTTCTAGTCTCTCTCCTGAGCTTCAGTCACACATATCCAACTCCTATTGGATAGTTGACATGGGATATTCTATAAGCATCTCAAACTCAGTATGTCCCAAACTGAACATATTATCTTCTCCTGCCCAAAAAACCCAAACCCTCCTCCTTTCTCCTTTCTGAACTTCCCTATTTCTGTTGAGAGTGCCTCTATACTAGTCACTTGGATCTGCAACCTTGGTATTTTCCTTGACTTCTCACTTTCCTTCATAACCATGTCCAATTAGTTACAAAATCTTGTTTTTACCTCCATAATGTTTTACCCATGTCTCCCCTTCTCTCTACTCAGAAAGCAGCTATTCCTGTGCAGGGCTTCATCACCCCTTGCCTTGACTTACTCCAAGAGCATCCTACTTGGTCCCTCTGCCTCAAGCTTTTCTTCACACAAATGCCGAAGTAATTTTCATAAAGTGCAAATCTGGCCTTATAAAAAGCTTACTCACAAAACCTCAAAAGACTTTCTATTACCTCTAGGATCAAATGTCAGCCCCTCTCTAGGCTCTCTCTGCCTCAGACAGGCCCTCACTTCCTGCCTGGTTCCCATAAAGTGTAAGTTCCCTGAGGGCAGGGACTCTTGTTTTTGTCTCTGTATCCTCAGTGTCTAGCCTTGTGCCTGGTAGTAATGGTGCCATAGCAGTGTTTCATAAATGGAGGCTGAATGAATGACATCACTGCTCTGTTCAATCTCTGCAACCTCACTGTATCTGGAATCTTCCTTGACAAAAATTTCCAGCTTCTTTCCTTGACACACCAATCAGTTGCCAGTCCTGGCCTTCCCTATAAAACACCTGGCCCTCTTCTGCTTTCCATGGGATACAGGGTAACACTGAATTGAGGAGCTGCAGAACAAATAAATGGATAAGAGCTTGATACAATTTGGGCTAGAATTCTTTTTCTTCCTTTGTTTTAAAATTTTTTTTAGTGAACAAAAATTTATTTTTCCCCCTCATTACTTTAGGCAGTTAGGTGGCATAGTAGATAAAGTAAATGAAGCTCTGGGCCTGAGGAAGTCAGGAAGGCCTGAGTCAAACCTGGCCTCAGACACTTAGTAGCTGTGAGACCCTGGACAAGTCACTTAAGCTCTGCTTGCCTCAGTTTTCTCATGTGTAAAAGGGGGCAACAGTAATACCTACCTCCCAGGATTGTGGTAAGGACCAAAATGAGATAATATTTGTAAAGTAGTTAGCATAGTGCCTGACACATAGTAGGCACTTAATAAATGCTTATTCCTTTCTTCTTTTCTTCCTCTCATGGGAAAAAAGAAAAAGAAAAACGAGGGCTGCTAGATGGCACAGTGGGTAGAGCACCAGCCGTGAAGTCAGGAGGACATGAGTTCAAATCTGGCCTCAGACCAAACACGTGACACTAGCTGTGTGACCCTGGGCAAGTCACTTAACCCCAATTGCCTAAAAAAAGGAAAACTCAAAAAAACCCCCCTCGTAACAAATATGTATGGTCAAAGAAGACAAATTCCCACATTGGCCCCATCCAAAATGGGCTACAGTTGTGGAGGGCACCTCTCATGTGCTCATCTCTTCCATGCCTCCTTCTTCCCTATGTTCAGGATAACCTCATCCGTGCCCAATGCCCTGCTTACTGAGAGCAGATAGGGTAGCTGGAACTGGGGAGCCTTCAGAAGGCAAGGAGCTAATCTACCAGAACCAGGTCTACTTGGGGCTGTGGTGGGGGTGGGGCGTCTTTCTGCTTGGTGGTGATCCCTGAAGAGCAGAGAGATAATGCTATCAGGAGAAGCCTGAGGCCCTACTCACAGGAGACCAACATGTGGCCCATGAATGTAGGCCTTGGTTCTTTACTTCTACATGTGTGCTTTTGTCTCAGGTGTAAGAGATTGTAGCTCGTGATGTTGTGAATTTGCAAAGGGCAGGAGACTGAGCCCCCAGGATATCCAGGCGTATAAAGTCCATCCTAGGGTTTGGAGCCAGCTTGTCCAGCTTTGAGAGCCCCAAGAGTGAGGTCTGGTCTTCAGGCCATAGCCCAGCAGTAGGTGAGACCAGGGCTCATCTCCTAGCCATACCATATTTGGGCATGAACTTGGCAGAACCAATACTATGTAGAAATGGTGTGAAGTCTGAGCCCAGTCTTCAAAGATCGAGGTGGTAAAGGGCTATCCAGTCTCTCTCTTCTTTGCCTTCCCCTGCCTGCTCCAGGGACAAGCTTGGCTCTCATCTGCCTTCTCCTTCCTTCTAACCTAAGGTTCTCAACAAGGAGGAGACACTGTGTACAGAAGATTAAAAAAAACTCCTTTGGAAGAGAAAATTCAGAAAAGTTCTTAGTGGTTCTTGTTCACTTCAAAGTGAATGTTCCTGTGTCTGTCTGTCTGTCTGTCTGTCTGTGTGTCTCTTTGGCTGACTGGCTGTGTTTTGGGCCCCAGGAAGCTTCTGCAGCCTGGAATGCTGCCCAACATTGGCTGCCTCTCCAGGCCTGAGCAGAATTCCACAGCCTGGAGCCAGAATCTCCATGGCACTGGAAGGAAGGAAGGTAGAATGGGTGTGGGGTAGTATTTCGTGGTGAGACCCTTTGTTGAGTCCTGGGGTGCACCAATGAACACTCACTGTTGGAAGCTCAGTGGGCCATGGGGGGTGGGGCCTGAGTGAGCTCAAGGTAGATGCCAATTCATGGATTTTTGTTTTGTTTGTTTTTTTCCTTTTTTGTGATTTCCTTTTTTTTTTTGGTCCTGGACCGTGGAAAAAGTGGAAGTTGCTCTGTCTTTGATGCTTAGTTTCTGTTTTAGAGCAGTTTCAGAGGTTGTGGAGATCAGAGAAAATGTCTAGTCCTTCCTCTGGTTTGTCATCTGACCACATAATTTCTTTTAAGACCTAGTTGATTAAGAATTTTTTTCCTGTCCACAGTTGGTAAAATATAACCTTCTATTCAGTATGAATTCTTTTATGGTGTGTTTTTGAAATATATTTAGATCATTGATATATTTGGAAATGGTTGTAGTGTATAGAATGGATGCAGACTTGTCTCCATTCATCACCAAATTATTATCTAATTTTCACAATAGATTTTGTTGAATAACAAATTCTTTTCTCTTTGTTTTTCCCCCTTTTTATACAGATTAATCATTCAGAGACCTCAGAGGTCACCTCCACCAACTCTCTCAGTCAGAAGATAAAGAAACAGATCAGCTAGGGGATTCTTGTAAAGTCACCCAGATAGCTAATGGCAGAGCCCAGACTTGGATTCAGGTCCTCTGGGTCCAAACCTAGCTCTCTTTCCATTGCTGCCCCAATCTTGTGGACTTATCAATAGTAAAGGCACCTGGGTAGTACAGTGGGTCAGATTTCTGGCCTTGGACAGTGGAAGAACTGATTTCCCTTCAGCGTAACCAGCTTTGTGATCCTGGGCGAGTCACTTTCTCACAGCCTGAATTTCCTCCTCTGTAAAATAGGTTTAATTATAGCACCTAGCTTCTGGCCTTCTTACGACGACCAAATGATAGAAGACATGTCCTGCATTTTGTAAACCTTGAAGTGCTGTATAAATGTTAGCTCTTATCATAGCAAAAATTATTCTACCACTGATATATGTTTAGTCCTAAATCTATATTAATCTATTCCAATTATTGTCTAATTTTTTTGGTTTTGTTTTGTTTTTGGTTAGACAATGGGTTTAAGTGACTTGCCCAGGGTCACACAGCTAGTAAGTGTTATGTGTCTGAGGCTGGATTTGAACTCAGGTCCTCCTGAATCCAGGGCTGGTCTCTACCCACTGCACCACCTAGCTGCCCCTATTGTCTAATTTTTAAAGCAGGTCCATGACATTGATTGTCTAGAGTCCTTCACTTGGAAATAGGAAGACCTGAGTTCAAATCCTGCTTCAGACCCTCAGGCACATTTTTAATACTAGACCATTTGGGTCTCTATGTCATGAAGATATTTGTTGTAAGGTAATATAATTCACAAGTGTCATAGTATAAGATCTAAGCCTATGATGGACACTCCGTGAGCCATCATTCTCTTACTAAGAATTCACCAAGAAATTCATTCAATGAAAAATAATCCTTCTCACACTCATTTGGTGACTAAACTTTTAAGAAGTGACCATTATTTAGAAGAAATTGTTTTATTTCTGAATATAACTCTATATGGGATATTGATATAAATACCAAGAGCCCTACTTTATTCAAGAAAAAAAGAGAAAATTGACAGAAACAGTTTAAATAAGAATCAAATGCAAAGGGACAGTCACTCACTTTTCCCCTATTTTAAAATTATCACATATCTTTAGGGAAAATTATTAGGGTTTTCAAATGTGGTACTAGCCACAATTGGACAGAAAACTAAGAAAATCATGCCCCAGGCTTGCAAGCCTTGCATTTCAATAACCCTCACCCTACAAGTTTCCCACAAATCACAGGGATCCTGAGCTCTCTCCTTCAAGTTATGTTGGAGCTGAACAAGAGGGAGAAGGCTTGTCTTCAGAGTATGATACATCCACCAGTCTGTTCTTGGGCTTCATCCAGGCTCTTCTGAAGAGACTCGACTTGGTTTTGAAGCTGCTGCATTTCATTTTTGAATCCTTCTTTCAGTAATGCTTGCTGTTCCTGAAGAGAAACAACTAGAATTTAAGAGCATGGAAACAAAAGGGACCACACAGAATTCTGGGAATATTGTCCCCCTGATTCAAGTTAGCAGATCTCCAGAACCTCTAAATGACCTGTGGAATGTTTGCCCAAGGCTGTGTGCTGGAGTGAAAAGGGCTGGATAAGGGGCCAGAGTGTCAGCTTCTGCCATCAGTTGCCCTGGGGCGCCAAGGATTAAGGTAGGGTATGAGGAGGCATCAGAAGCCAGTGAGCCGAGAAGCCAAGTCAGAAGTGCACTGGCTGAGCATCCACACCAGCATCTGCAGTAGCTAATGGGCCTGTGGCCTCTGGAAGGAGCTGCTGGTATACAACAGAATACAGGCTAGATGCCTGCCTTCTCTTCTGGAAGAGGGACTGGCTGTTTTAAATCCAGGGGCATCTGCCTCTCAAGGTGCTATTAAAAAAAAGTCTATTGAATTACAAGGGATAATAGTAAAGTTTATCTGACAGATAAAGTCCAATAAAAACTTCAATGTAACTAATAAGTTCTACAGTTTCAAATATTAGCTGTCATTTACATAGTGCGTAGAGCTTTGCAAAGTACTTTTCTCACCCACCCCAGTGAAGTAGGTCGTGAAAGAAGTGACCATGTTTTTTATGAGAAAACTAAGACATGGAGAGATTATGAGATGGCTCAGAGCCATGTAGTCCCTGCATAGTGTCAGGTTCAGCACTCAGACCAAGAGGAGAAAGAAAAAACAAAGGAATCAGCACCAGAGGTGAGAGAGAGATATGAAGGAGGTAAAAAAAAGAAGGGAAGACAAAGGAACAAGCAATGAGAATAGAGAGTAACATAAAATTAAAAACATCCAAGGCAGCAGGAAAAAAGTGAATGAAGAGAGTTGAACAAAATGAAAAAGATAACAAACAAGACATTGGAGAACAATCCCAGATGTTCCCCAAACCAAAACCAATATTGACAACAATGGAGGATAAAGATAATGGAAGATAGATCAAGAAGATCAAATCTTAGATTAACTGGGATTCTAGAGGGTATTGAGAGGAACAAAACTTCTACTCCATAATGAAGATACATGTGAGCAAAGAAGATTTCTAAGAGTAGATCAGAGCTGACAGCACCCCACAAGTGGAAAGAGTTCATAGGATTTCATCATGAAGAAATCAGAAACTCCAGCTTCCAAGGTAGACCGTTATGAAATTTCAAAATGATAAAAATAAAGATTAAAGTATCAAGAAAGAAAAATGAAATTACTTAAGAAAAAATGATGGGACACATTTCCCCAGACTTCTTAACTAAAGTCAGGAAAAAACCCAAACAACTATAGTTACGTGTGTGTGTATGTGTATACATATATACATGTAAGCACACATACATACACATGTATGTACATGCATGCATACATATATACCAGCAAGTTCAGAGAATATTTAATTTTTTGTTTTATTTATCCTTCAAGAGTAAAGTGTGTGTATGTATATATGTGTGTGTATACATACACGTGAATACATATGCATGTATATGTGTGTAGATATAGATACAATATATAAACATATAGTATATGTAAAGCACATATATACACATATATACACACACTTTACTTTTGATGGGAAATAATTACAGTGGAAAATTATATTTATTTATATGAACTTTATATACATACACACAACATACTTGTAAACAATATAGTGTGTATATATACTCTAGTTTATAAAGAATGTTGGTGTATGTGTGTGTATGTATGTGTGTGTGTACTTTACTCTTGAAGGGGAATAATTGCAGTGGAAAATGAAATATTCTTTGAACTTGATAATTTTATCTGGATACAGAAAATGGCATTCAAAACCCAAAGAGACCTCAAAGAATTTCTTTTATAAAAGCTTGCTGTTGAATAGATCTGGGGAGAGTCTGTTCTAGGGAGACCAAATATGGTGTCAGGAGAGTTCCTGGTTCATAAACCAATCATTTCTCCACAAAAATACTAGGATACTTTAGCCTGACATTACATATACTCTGAAGTAGGGCATTTGATCTTTTGTAACAGAAATAGAAACAATTTAAGAATGATAAAAAAAAAAGTATTATAATTTTTAAAAGACATTAAGCAAAAAAACAAAACACTTCACCATTTACAAATGGAGAAGTAATGAAAAGGGGAAATAAGGAAAGGAACTGGCAATTCTGAAATAAGAATGTTTATTTCTAAGAAAAATGGAGTCATAATCATATAGTTGGAAAGACTGAAACAGTAGTTTATGAAATCTAAATTTACTTTGTTTCATTAATTGATTTAAGGTTTTGAAGAGTTGGGGATTATCCAAAGGGCAAAGGAGAAGCATATGATAGGTATGAGTAGGTACATTACCAATTATGGTTTGCTCAAGAAAATCAGGATAAGGGATGCTATTAATCAGAGAAGCTTGATTTGAAAAGATCGTGGGCAAGAGTGACAGGTTACCAGCAGACACTTCACATACTCCATTAGTGTCTTTGTCAAGAAAAGTCAAGGGAGTTGCCCAACATGTTGGGTGGCTCCTAGATGGAGGATTTATATGAGACCATTGTCAAGAGTTGTCTCAGATGAGAGGAAATGGCTTTGATTATCCCTTAAAGCTCCAAAGTTCTATGAATCTTTTTTTTTTTAAATACAGAATTTTAAAGATTAGAAACTACTTGTTATGCATGAATTCATGGATTGCTTACCCGGAGTTTCAGATCCAGGGTCCTCTTTTGCTCTTCTACTAACTGTTTCCTTTCTTCTTTCATCTTTTCAGTCAATTGCTTTATATGTTCCTGGTAGCTTCTATCCTTCTGCTCCAGCATCTCCTGGGTCTTCTTTTGCGTTTCCTCCAACTGCTTTCTAGCAGCCTCTGCAGCCTGAGCTTTGACACGCTCCGCTGAGGATAATGAAAAATTGGGGAAAATTCAAGACAGGTGAAGGATCACTGGTTGCTAGAGCAGCATTCTGCTCTGGTTTATTATCTCAATTTAAATGATTCAACTTCTTGGTGTTGAATACAGACATTCTCCAAGAGAGTAATCAACAAACAAGTGAACATACATGCCTACAGAGAAAGTTTGGTAACAAGAAAGAACTCTTTCTGGATACAAATAGTCAAGTTATGTTAAAGTAATCTGTGGAGGGCTTGCCAAGTGATCTAGGACCATGTTTGTGGACTTCTCACCTTCAATATCCTTTTGTTTTTCTGAGAGTGACTGGTCGGCATGCAATATTGCATCAGCTGTATCTTCCTTGGACCTCAAGTATTCCTGCAGAGTCTCCTCAGCCTGGCAAGGGGAAGACAGTGAATTAGCAAAAGGAAAGAAATCTGTTGGGGTAAATTCAAAGTTGGCTGTTCAGAAGACACTGGCCTTGACAGTGGGCCATTCCATTCGGCATTACTGTCGTTCACCTCAGAGCTTGGAAATGCCTCTTACAGTTCTGTCTGCACTTCTAGCCTGAATCCATTGCTAATGGGAGGGTTCACCTGTATCCCCTTCCTGGGCTGCTGGTGGTATTTCTCTTTCAGCTCCTTGGTCTTCTGCAGAAAGAGACTATAGCCCCCTGGTTTAGAGAAGGCCCCATTCTTCAATGCTTCCTCCAGAGGACTGAAAATATCCTGAAGCAAAGCTCTGCACCGTTTTGCCGACTCATCCAGGTTCTGATTACAAAAGGCGTCACGCTTGGCTTCTAGCTGGCTCTTTAAGCAACATAAAAGAAATGATGTGTAAAAGGTACAGTTGGGGTAATATGTCAATAACTTACCAGAATTTCTAGACAAGAATTCTAAAAAAAGAAAATCATGCCCTCCCTCCCACCTGTGCATCCAAGCAGAATCATGTCCTGGTTCTAGACTTACTTTTACAAGATTCTCTGCTATATCTGTCCTAAGAGATTTTAAAGATTATGGGAAGAGGGCAAATCAATCTGGAAAAGATGTAATTTCCTAAAGCCCCTTTCCCTTATCTTTGCCATAGACTACAATCCTCAATTCTTCAAACTCTTTCATGCTTAATCTTCAATTTCTCAAAATTAATAATAAATGTATTATATAATATCATAGCATATTAAAATATCATACCAGAATTATCAACCAGAATCTTTTAAAAGGCAGTTACCATGTGATTCTTTTTTCTTAAAGGAGGTTGTAAATGGACTTTCAGGTTTACATGACTGACTGAAGACTATGACTTTAGACTCTAGTAAGCTATTGTTCTCAAGAACAGCCTCATTTTCCTTTCCAGGCTTGCCCTCCTTCATGTAGACCCTGCTGTCCCATGAATATGAGTAGCCAAAGTACCGCCAGTTCCTTCTGGAATTTCTGGTCCACATCCTTGAAAGAATCCTTGATGAAGACTTCAATGGCTTCCCTCTCACATGTGGCATGTATGTCTAACAATTCCCGAAGGGTTTCTGTGGGGAACTGGACCCTTTTTTTCATCATCTCTTCATAGTGTATAAGGGCCCTTTGAACTGCAGCCGAGTTCTCTATTTGAGCCAGTGCCAGCACTGCATTCTCCATACAGGGCATATCTCCACTGGTGATGGCCTGAACATAGGTTAGGACCAGGTTCTCTAGACCTATAGAGAAAACAAAAATGCGAGAGGTCAGCACCATTAGGAGAATAGTCAGAACCTATCATTCTAAGTAATGGGTATGAACACTTCACTTTTCATTGTATCTTAATTATTTTATATTTTAGTTATTGCACCATTGGGAAGGTCTTGGACATAGAGTCTTGAAGGTTTTCAAATTACCCCTTGCCAACTCTAACATTTTATAATACTGTGAAACTTTCAGGAAATATTTTGATGTGGAAACAAGAAGTATTCAAAATGGTAATAATGAGAAGAAATGGGTAGAATAGATAAAGGTACAACCTCATTCCTAAACAGGGTAGCTCTGGCCATTGTCTTGATAATTCCATTTGTCTTCCCTCCTTTGGGAGTGGTCAGAACCTATCATGCTAAATAATAGGTATAAACGTTTCATTGTCATAACTATTGCACCATTGGGTATGAGATGTGCTACTAAAGGTTTTCAGGTTAGCCTTTTCTACCTCTAAGTTTTTGTTATATTTTAGAGAATTTATTTAGCCTTTTAGTGATTTCCTGCCATAGGGGCAAGGAGTGTCCATAATGGTAAGAGTGAATGAGAGACTATGGACAGGAACCTGGAAAGGTCTTTTGTTATCTAGTCCAGCAGACTATATCTTTTTCAAGGGCTTTCCTGAGAAGGTTCTCTTTTCTACTTTCTTCTCCTATTCTCTTACAAACAGTAGATCAGTACTGGAAGGGTGAATAGGAGAGAGAAAGGACTCACGGGGCCCATTGACTATAATGCCTCCCTGGAGAGTTTTCACATTGGAGTGCTCAAAGATCCAGGAGCAGAAGGTTTCCACTTGTTTCACAAATTCAGGATCCAGTTCACTGTCATGAAGTTTCTCCAGCTGGGAAAGCTTCTTTCTGTGGACGGGTCTGTCGAAAATAAAGCATTTCTTCTTGGGGAAGAACTGGCGGATACACAGACGAGGTAGGTTGAACATTTTAACTTCCTCAGGTTTGCCTGAGGGAAGGAAAGGAGGTGTCTTGTAATAGAGAACAGAGCCTGGACTTTGCACACACTCTAAAATTATATCTCCTTTCAGGGATCTATCTTTGGGCTGAGATGAGCTTATTTGTGTTAGGTCCTTGCATGTTGACTCCCTTGTTAGAATGGGAGCTCCTTGAAGGTAGGGACTGTTCCTCCCCCCCCCCTTTTTTGTATATCCAATGCTTAGCACTGTGCTTGGCACAATAAAGATGCTTAATAAAAGCTTGTTGTTGGTAATGATGATGATGATGATGATGATGATGAAAAAAAGACAAAGGACTTGTTCCTAAAATGGAAAAGGGGTTCAGATTTTCCCTGAAGGTAATAGTCTAGACTTCAGCCAAAGTGGGATGACTTTCCTTGTCTCCAGATAGGCAGGGAACCATAACTAGATAAATCTACATTCAGAATATAAAGTAAATTCTGGGGATGGTTTCCCATACCCCCTCCCCCCTCCCCTTACTCCCCACATCAGTGCCCAACTCTCAAGCTCTGGAACCTTTCTTAAGCTTCAGTGCGCTCTCCAGGTACTCATCAGAGGTGATGGGTTTCCCATCAATTTCCAGCTCCAAAGTGAAATCACGCACAGTCCACACAAAGTCTGGAAAGAAGCTCACAAAATCTGAGGAGTTTTCTATCTCATCAGTGTTGGGGGCAGATTTGCTCTTGATGCGCTCTGTCAGCTCAGTTACATAGCTGGGGAATTAACTAAGGAAATATGGCAGAAAAAAAGCACCAGCCCTTCTTCCACAATTCCATCAATTCTTTGAAATCTTTTACTTCCCCTTGGTCCTGAACAAATTTATTACTTTTTCATCATGAAGCACGAGTAATTTATCTGGAACTTGTGATATGTGTGTACATGTGATACACACACACACACACACACACATATATATATATATACACATATATACACACACACATATATACACACACATATATACATAATCACATGAATAACACACACACACATATATATATATACACACACACATATACACACACATATATACATAATCACATGAATAACACACACACACATATATACACATATATATATACACACACACATATATACACACACATATATACATAATCACATGAATAACACACACACACATATATATATACACACACATATATACACACACATATATACATAATCACATGAATAACACACACACACACACACACACATATATACATACACACACTCTCTTATACCTGTCCTTAGAACACGAGGATCAGAACATGGGCTGCAGAGAGATATCTGGGCTAAGTGTCGGCCCTCCCCTCCTCCCCTTCCCAAACGTACTCTTTGCCTGAATCACAGAAAGGATACTGCAGCTGGTCCAAGGCCTGCTGGTTGATGGTGCCCATGCTGTTATAGACAAAGGTGCTGCTCAGTAGCACGGCAAGGGCAAAGATCCACGTGTCATTCTTGTTATTGCCCTAGAAATCAGAACACATTCCCTGGCCTTATTACATGATACTTTCCCACTCCCGTGGCAGCTCCTAGATTACCATACCTGTATACTTGGGTTTTTGCAGGCCTAAGACCTATAACAGTATTAATGTGCTCTTTTTCATAATCAGGCATGAACAGTGCCCTCCCTTCTTACCTTCTCCACATCACCCAGCCCCTCAGTGTCCAGGAGAACAAGGGTGTGATTTGGTTTCTTGGGATGAGGAATACACCACATCCAGATGCCCTTGGTGTGAGATTGCACTGTGGAGCCAAGGGAGAAACCTGCACGAGAGTTTGCAGAGATGAGCATGGAGTAATCTGGGGACTTTCATATTTGAGATTAGTATATCATCTTGGAGATTAGTATAGCTGTGTAATGTTAGTTATTCACTGCAAGAAATTGGCTGTTTTCCCATAGTGAAGAAGAGAGGAGATTACATATAAGAGAATCAGTATTTTAAGTCTAATTTTTAAATTACACCAAAGAGATACAAAATAGACCAGTTGCCCAATCACCTCAAGAAGGAACATTTTCTTGCATTTCAGAGACCAGTAGAGATACCTAGAAAGTTCTTCCTTGTGGATTCTCTGTTCATTCACTCATGCATTCATTCATCCATTCATTCATTCTTCCATATATATATCTATCCATTCATTCATTCATCTATCCTTCCATCTATTCATTCATTTATTGAACTTACTTTTGCTGCGTACTTATTTTAGACAAGGTGCTCTCCTAGCAGTTATGAGTGATACAGTGATAAATAAGGCATGGTCTGTTCTCTCAAGAACTTCTATCTTCTTAGGAGATATAAGACATGCATAGAAAACCAAATATGCCTAACCCCCCCCCCCCCGAAATATGCCTTAGGCAAGCATAACATATGATAGGAATTTAGGGGAGGGAAATTTTGTTTCTTCGTTTAAGGACCTGAGATCTCTTCAGAGAGGAAGAGGTCTACCTAAATTGGGCTTTGAAGATTAAGTAGGATTTTGACCTGTGGAAATATGGCCAGGAGGAATAGGGAATGGTGTCAGTGAAGACATACAAACAGATAATAGTACAACTGGTTTGGGAACTAGTCCATTGTCCAGTTTGCCTGACTTCTAGAATATGTGAAGGGGAGTAGTGTAAAATACGTCTAGAAAGGTAAATTGAATACCATGAGTTACAGGATCCTAGACATCAAACAGAAAGTACTTCAGAGATCATCGAATTTCACTCTTCATTTTGTAGATGAAGTCAGAGAGACAAAGTGATCTGTTCAATTTACCTAGTTAGTAAATATGAGAATTGGGTCCTAACCCTATATTCTTTGACTCCCTTTGCTTTTCCCTCAGTACCACACAGCCTTAGTCATAAAGTTTATTAGAATGCTCATGTACATCACCATCACAGTTATCTTATTTCCAAAGGGCATCATGAGTCTTGTTCTAAGGGGAGACTAAGTCAGTGTGGCATAGATCAAACTTTGTGATGCCTTAGTTCAGGAAGACCTGGGTTCAAATCCCACCTCTAATACTTACTAGCTGCGTGTCTATTGTCAAGGACTTTATGCCTCAGTTTCTTCATCTGTAAAATGTTGATAATGAGACCAGTAGTACCCACCTCACAGGCTTGTTGTGAGGCTCTAATGGAATAAGGTATGTAAAATGCTTTGTAAATTTTAAAGTGGTGTATATATATGGATATATATATATTCATGCATGGAAGTTATATATTTGTACATAAGACATATAATGTGTGTGTATACTATTATAGATTGTATTTTTATGAATATTACACATATATATTATATTACATACATACACATCACATACTGAATTCTATAATTTATCACATATATACAGCTAATAAGTTACTTATCATACATGTGCATGTTGTTATATATGTACTTATTACACATATAATATACATACATTAATATACATACATGTCTATATATCAGATATTATTAAGGCAAAGTGGAGGAAATGTCTGCTTTGTCTTCCAGATTGCCCTAAGGGGTCTAAAGCAGACCTTAGAATGAGACCTTGCCTTTCCAGGTCTATCCCTCCTTGTTAAAGAGAAGTCACCAGAATGAATAACATATGGTTACATGTCAAAGGACTAACCCTACATACCATAATTTTGATGATTGCACGTACCTGATTTTTTCCCTGCCAGCTTATTCATTAGGTAGGACTTGCCGGTGCGATACAGGCCCACAACAGCCACCACCACCATAGGCTCAGTTATGGAAGAGAGAATCTCCAGGGATTTTTGGTTCACTATCAGTTCTTCTTTCGTGTTCTCAATTAGACACACTGGGGCTGGCATGTGGACAGCAGTGGCCATGTTGAAAGTGGTTTCTTATCTGCCAATGGAAAGTGTGGTCAAATAGTCAGTGAGAGGCCCAATTTTCATTTCTAAATACAGAGCCAGAACACAGCACTCAGAGGACTGCTGTCCTTCTGTCATTTTGACTCTCTGATATGTGTGATAGGAGACTCTCTTCTCCCTGAAGAACCAGAGACTTTTCTGATCTAATCAGCCTAAACATTTGCTTCTGTATTTATCTTCTGTCTCTTCAAATCCAGTCTACAAGAAAAAGCAGTGATGTCTACTCTATTTGTCTCAGTCTGTGTGAATCTGAACCATAGGACTGGACAATTTAAACCCAGAAGGAGCCTTACAACACATATAGTCCAATCCACTCTCACAGTATGTGTGAGGAAAATGTATTCCCGTGAGGCTCAATGATTTGTTTCAGGTTGTACTGTAGCTAGTGAGTAGTATGGAAGCATATCTATTAAGGATCTCTATTTTTTTTGAAATGTTAAGAAATAATATTAGGATAGTGTCCTGTCCTAAATTCCTTAGTCTCATTTGGATAGAAAACCTAATCTGTATTTGATCAAATTCTAAGGAAACAAAGTCTTGCACTGAAATCTTTTTACTATATTCTTAGAAAAGGCTGACCTGTTTCTCAACGGGAGGGGCTTGACTGAGTCGAGAAGGAAACTGGGAACCCTGAAACCAATAAGAACCATAACCAAACTAAGAGGAGGAATGTGCTTTGATTAATCTCATGAAGAGCGGCACCCTTTTTCTTCACCCTTAACCAGAATGATCTATTTTAGGGAAATGGCTCTTCACTGTGTGGAAGTTGTTACTATTATTCTGTTTAAGAGTATGGATTCATTCTCAGAGTAACGCTTTAAAATGCATAAAATACATAAAATTACAAAGAAAACAAATTCTATTGTAATTGTGTGCTCAAAATATTAAACAAAATAAAAACTTCTGGACCCCAGGTTAAGAACTTTTGTCCTAGCAGAGTTCTGAGAGTATTGTTATCATGTTATCTCTTGCCACCATCCTCTAACAGTTCATGAGAATAACGGGGGACACAACAGTGCCCTTGTAGGGAGTCAATGGGAAAAGAAGATTTACTTGCCATATTGATTTTGCATTCATTTCTTCCTTCATTTTTTCATTCAACAAGTAGGTGGCTGTTACAATGTTAATAGTGACTGAATTGCTCTGGGAGATACAAAGATGTCTAAGAAATCATTCATGAAATCTAGTCCTTTGTCTCTCATGTCCTAAACCGGACCTACTATAGGTCTTTGGGTCTGTTACCTTTTCTGGTAATAGTTTGATAATGTATTTCAACATAATTTGGTATCTCTGAAGATCTTATGTTTTTTTATTTATGCATTTAAAAGTATCATTCTTAAATTGGAACCACAGGCTTTCCTAGACTGCTTAATAGGTCTATGGCACAAAATAGGTTAGGAACCCCTGAATTCTTGACTCAGTCTTGCACTCCTCATTTAAGATACTTCACCCTCTCTTTTTTTCTTCTGCCTGTGCTTTGCCTCTTGTCTCTATCCTTCCAGTTTTTGTCTAATGCCACTCTATTTTTCTGATCCAGATTCTGCAAACACTCAAGGTATCCTATTACCTTGACTCTGGCTACAGCCATGAGGAGAAGTCTCTTGATTCTTTATTGTGGTGAAGTCAGTTTTCCTAAGAGCATTACACTGGATTGTGGATTTGGCTTTGCTTTGGGGCTTGAGGATATTATGACTGTTTGGAAGAGTAGTAATAAAAGTCCCAGAATTTCAGAGCTTCCAGATAGCTCCTTGGCCATTGAGCCCAGCTAGCATTTCAGCAAGAATCTTTCTCACAATCACTGAGAGTGATCATCCAATTATTTCTGGAAATCTTTCCATGAAGGAAAACCACTGTCTCTTAAGGCAGCCTATTACATTTCAGGGCAACTGTAAGTTTTAGGAAGATTGTCCTTATGTCAAGTCCCTATTTCTACCCTTGATCCATCACTGGGGACCCGCCAGAGCAAATTCAATTCCTCTTCTGCTTCACAGCCCATCAAATACTTCAAAACAACTAACCCTTATTTCCAGGCCCAACATCCTTACTTCCTTCTCCACTATGACATCAGTCATCCCACAGCTCTGGTAGGTCTCCTGTGGATACATCTAGTTTATCCATATCCATCGTAAAACATGCCTGACCTAAACCTAACACTCCATCCAGAACTGAACACATGACTGAAGATGTATTTGACCAAGGCAGATAGGCCCTAAGAACCCTGTGGTCATCCTTTACTCTCTGTTTCCTCAAGCCTGAGCTGGTATAGAAAGTTTTGCAGGATGGCTTGTGAGGTACAGCTAGGCTCAACTCCTGCCATGTGATGGTCAGTTGGAGGACCTGGTCAGTTTTGTCTGGTTCAGAGAAGACTCAGAGGGACCTGTGAGCTGTCTCCAAGTGTTCGAAGCATTCTGCTTGGCCCCAGAGTGCTGAACTGGGAGCAGTGGGAAGAAGCTACAAGACAGGCACGTCTAGGCTTGGGGTAAGAAGTTGTCAACAAGCATGTATTAAGCATCTGCTATGTGCCAAACTTTGTCCTTAGCGCCAAGAATACAAGGAAAGGCAAAAATAGTCTTTCTTCACAAGGCTCTCCCAGTGTAATGGGGGAGGCAACATGCAAACAACTATGTACAAATTTTCCTTGCAATTTTTTTTTTTGGCTAGGCAATGGGGTTAAGTGACTTGCCCAGGGTCACACAGCTAGTGTCAAGTGTCTGAGGCCAGATTTGAAGTCAGGTCCTCCTGACTCCAGGGCCGGTGCCCTATCCACTGTGACACCTAGCTGCCCCCTTGCAATTGTTGTACAGTTGTTTCAGTTGTGGCTGGTTCTTCATAACCGTATTTGGGATTTTCTTGATACTGAAAGTAGTTTGTCATTTCCTTCTCCAGCTGATTGTACAGATGGGGAAACTGAGGCAAACAGGGTTAAGTGACTTGCTGAGGGTCACACAGATGGCAAATGTCTGAGACAAGTTTCAACTCAGGAAGATGACTCTTCCCCACTCTTGTCCTGTCACTGTACACACGGTGGCCCCTGCCTGCCCAATTAGAACTGTTCAGAAGCAGAATGGGTAGCCTTGGGGAGTACATTCCTCCATACTGAAGGTGTTTAAGTTGATAGATGATCACTTATTAAGTACGTGATTGAAAAGATTTTGGTTCATATTTGGTTTGGACTAGATGGTCCTTCAGGTCTTTGAGTTCTGAGATTCTGTGATGTGTCTTTGGAGGATTTTGGGTTTTGCCTTATCCCATATTACACAATGATTTGCTACCAAATGAAATTTGAAAATACTCATCTTTGTATGCACAGAGACATGTATGAAATACACATGTACAGATTTACATATATTTCACATATATATTTTATGTTAGTTTAGATTTGAATATGCATGGATACTATATATATATATATATATATATATATATATATATATATAATATATACTTACACAGAATGTCAAGTTTTATTTATATGTATGTATGTATATGTGCATACCCACATGCACACAGAATGTCCCAAAAGTATCAGCACACTATCAAGTTATTAAAATGGATAATTGCAGTAAGACTTTTGGGATACTCTGTATTGTGGGTTGTTAAAGGGTTAGAAATACAAAGCAGTGTGGTACAGTAGAAAGAACCCTGATTTGTGGCCATGGACAAGTCATTTAACTTCTCTGAACTTCAGTTTTCCTTTTGTTAAATAAAGAAATTGGACTTATTGAGGATGGGCTCTAGGATCTTATAAATTGGGGCTGGGAAGTTATAAAGAACCTCATTGCTTCTGTCCCTTTCACATATGGTAATTCTAAAGCCTTTCCCGGGCTTTAGGTGTTCTCCTTCATCTGCCAGAGACCATCAGGTGACCTCCTAAGTACCTTTTGGGTTTGCTGATTATAGGGCCCCATAATTGCCTGTTATCTGCTTTCCTTAACGAGCCCCCGAATGTTTGGTCCTTTCTACCTGTCCCCTTTCTACCTGAACCCAACTTCTTAGGACCCTTGCTACCCTTTTCTGTGTAAAGATAGTATCATCTGTTAAATGGAATGAAGAAGAAAAAGAAGGTAGAGAGAATAGAGGAGTGAACCAAAGAGAAGAAGGAAGTAAAAAGCACATTAAAAAAGTCAAAAGAAAGGCAGTGGCAAACTGATCAGGGATCTGGGAGTCTAGCCATAGAGGAAGGGGCTTAAGGCAGCTTTGGTTTATTTGCATATGGAGTTTGTTTTAAAGAACAGTTCTGTTTAGAATGGAAGAAGTTTCCCACCAAAGAAGATATGAGAAGCAGTAACTGAATGTTGCCAGTGTTTCTGTAGGACAGCCCATAGGATGTGCCCTTAAAGATGGCAAAGCTGGCAGAACTCATCATTTCTCTCCTAGTGGGAGACAGTGCCGTAGTGAATAAAGTGCTAGACCCAGACACAGAAAGATTTGAGTTGGAATCCCACCTCAAATAGTTACTGGCTCTGTGGCTTGGGCAATCCCTTCACTTCTGGTCTCAGTGATCTCATCTGTAAAATGGGGGGTTGTGTTGTTGGACCCAATGACATCTAAACTTCTTCCCAGTTCCAAACTGATGATCCTATAATAACATAGCTACCATTTCTGGGTGCATGCCACAGTTTCTGTGTAGTTACTAACTTACCCAGTAAAGAGCTCAACTTTGCTTTCATTTCAGTGTGCCTTTCCCTTCTGCACAAAGTTGTTCTTTTTAGTAGACTTATGAAAACCTGGAAAAGCCGAGACCTCAGTAGCATTGGCATAAAAGATGGCTGAAAGAGCTTGGAAGTCAATTTTATCTGTCTTTGGAAGAGGCTGTGTGCCTGGGGCTATGAATGTGCTGTGTATGTTAAGAGTTAAAAAAAGAAGGCATAATTGAGATAAGTTGTCATGGGATCATGGTATCCTAGATTTGGAGATGGAAGAGCCTTAGACTTGTCCAACCCTTTCCTTTATAGATAACTAAAATGAGGCCCAGACAGGGGAAGTGATCCCCCCATG